TCCCGTTTACTTAGTACGTTTTTGAGATATAGCAACACCGGTGATGATCACCAGTGGTGATAAATAGCAAAATTCTTAAAAAAAATAAATATATACAAAAATTTTAATCAAATTTATATATTATATTTGCTATAATTTTTTTGGTTTATAAATTATATGAGCTGCCAAGACAAAACCTGTAAGCAAATATTTGAGGTATCAATAAGGCGAGTTTAATCCTGGAAAAATATTACGTATTAAATCATTGTATACAAACTTTATACAATGATTTAATACGTAATATCACAATTTTCCCAGGATTAAACTCTACCTCAAATATTTGCCTACAGGTTTTGCCTTGGCAGCACTCATATAAACAATATAAAATATGATATACTGTATCTAATTGTATAAAATTCTAATAAGATTTAAATACAGTATATTAAATATATATATATTTGTATTTACTATAGTTCTATAAAAGTACTTTAAATTATATAAATATTATAAAATTGTTATCCAATTATAAAATTTTACTACGTATCGGTATAAAAAGCGGAATATCTAATAATTCCGATTTTTTTTAATATAAAATTAACAATGAAAAAAGTTAACTAAAATTTTTAATTTTTTCATAACTTTATTAATAATATTAAAATTGACGGTAATACATATCTTTTTGGATCCACTGCATCAATACTTACATTATTAATTTTACTTACGATATAACGATAAAGAAACCTTAAACCTTTAATTACGAAATACAAAATGCCTATTTATAAAACCTAATTAGTTTACACCAATTTATTTTGACTGGATTTGAAATTAATTTTGTAAACTTACTTCATTAAGTAACCAAGAAAGAAAGAAAATAGAAAAGATTACAGAGGATTTCAAGCATAGAGAAAAAAATATTTACACAAAAAAAAAAAACAAAAAAAAAAGAAAGAAATATATATATATAAATCAAATCAAATCAAAATTTTTACGTAAAAGTCTTTTGCTTTTTTTTTTTTTGAAAAATTATAATTTTTGTTTACCATATCGTTATCAATACCAATAATTATTTAGAAAATTAGACTATGAATATTTTGTTTTTTTTTGTTTCCGATTATCACCATTGTCATCATCACTTAAATTATGCGTGCTTGGAACAGAAATTGAAGATCGCCCACGGACATAAATTCGATTTGTTGGTGAAGCGTTTGAGGGAGTAGTGGCAGTCTGAGATCCTGGAAGGAATTGACGTAATTGTAACTGATTTAGATCGTAGGGAGCTTGACTAACATTTGGTGCATTTATATGTGATGTATCGAATGCACCTATTGAAGAAGTGAATTGTTGAGAATATGTCGATTGTGTTTCCAGACTAATCGGAGATGTGGCTATTGTCCCAGTTTGAAGATTAAAATTAACAGGAATATTTGCAGTATTTACTTGACTCATATCAATCGATATTGAAGATTTATAATTTACAGGGCTATTTAAGGATAAAATTGTTTGATCATTGCTTATATCATCAGATAAATTTATGGGGGAATAAATTGTTGAGGATGACAATGTAGGCAATAATGGTCTTGTTGTTGATGATGGTGAAGTTGGAGAAACAGGTAATTGTTGAGTATGATGAGATTGCATTCTGTCAGATGCACCCATTAGATTAAAATTGGAATGAACGTCTTCAATATTGCGAGAAACCAAATTTCCTGAAAGGTGCAAAATTGAAGACGTCATATCAGATGTAGAAGCTGATCTACTATTATTATAATGCTCATTAGGCGAAGATGAGGATTGTACATTTAAAGATATTGAAGAGTTACGCGAAGTCGAATCGTTGTGAAATAGACGATCTTGAGATCGATCTGAAAATTATAAGAAATTAAAAGAATAAATAGATTTAAATAGTATATGGATTTAAATAGTATAAAGATTTAAATAGTATATAGATTTAAAAGAAGGTTCATTAGATAAATTAAATTAGATAAAGAAACCATATATGATAAGCAAATTTGAAGATGTCAATACCTTGACTTAATTGTTGGGTCAGAATCTGATACAAATTACTTAGTAAGGCATCTTGCGCAGCAAGATTTCGTCTAAAAGTAATTATTTCTTCTAATATAGATCCACAATTTCTTGATAAAGCACTGACTTGTCCTGTCAAATCGGCATGCAATTCGGTAAGATTTTCCACTTGTGAATGTAGATCTTGGTGGATGCTTTGAGGCGCAGGTGCTACCGAATTTCCAGCAGTACTGCAACCGCTTGTTCCATCATCCGGTGAAGATTCATCAGTTACTTGTTGCTCATCAGATTTATTTTTATCTTTTTGTGTTGGTCTATTGCGTGGCGTTGGAACTTTACGCTATTTGGTTAAATGAATTTTTTTTTTGGGGAAGTATTAATTAAAAAAGTGAGAAAATTTTTTTTTTTTTTTATAATTACCTTTATATCTTCTAATAAATCTCTACGGTTAAGTTGGAATTTTGGATGCTGAAACTCCCAAGCCTATTAACAAAAACAAAGTCATGTCAGTTTGAGAAGAATTATGCAGTGAGTCGAAAAAACATAAAAACCTGTTCGCTATAAGGTCTTATTTCGTCATCGTTACTTTTTATCTTGTGGAAATCATATTTATTTAACTGCCTAACAAAACTTGCCATGTTATTATGTTTAAAATGTTGTGGCAATATTGTTTTGGCAAATTCTGTAGGATCGTGAACGACAAATGTATCACCGGTCACTCCCCATGAAACGATATGTGCGTATGATTTATCCTCTAGCATCCTTTTAAAATAAAGATAGCAAATTTAATGAATCGTTAAATAATTAAATAATTAAAGATTTAAATAATTAAATAATAATGATAATGATAATAATGATAATAATAATAATAATAATAATAATAATAATATCTATAATTTTAAATTAAATTGCAGGCTCGAGCGTAATTATGTTAAATTTAGCGAAATTTAATTTTTTCTCAATGTACTGAATGACGCGCAGCTCGGAAGCATACATATATTTTTATTTTTTAGCTGGTATGTATTTCTTTCTGTTCTTCAATACAATGGGAGTAAATTAAAATAAAGATGAAAGATTCTTGCTAACTTTGTGGATAAATTATATTGCTTCTTGTTTACCCAAGGCGAAAGTCAAAGTTATTGCTACCAGAGCAGAGGTAATAAAAAAAAAAAAAAAAAAGTATATAAAGAATAAAAATATACAAAAAATCTAAAGTAATGTTGAAAAAAAGTTACAGATAAAGACGCGTCAAGAAAAAAAAAAAAAAAGACAAACCTATAAAGCCTCTTTATAAAATCCGCGATATTTGCCGCGGCGCAAGTCATTTTGTTGTGAGGTCTTCGATAATTCGGAGCGATAATATATTGAGGAGTGTCGGATAGATTAAAGGAAGACCTCACAGACGGTCATTGCAAGAAAATGTTCAGGTGTGGACGTCGATAAAAACTTGTATCGATTATTTTCTGAATGATTCGACCTTTTGTTTTATATTTATATATTTTGATCTCTATAAATTTTTGAGGAGAAGAATGCCTGACCACTCAACAGGCAGATCCACTATTAAATAAGGTACAGTATTAGAAATAGGAAGATTTCCGAATGAATGAAAACCTTGTTGATAGTTGTCGAACACCTGATTGAATTAAAGCCATGCAATATAAACACTTTATTAAATAAAAAAATAATAATAATAAAATAAAATAAAATAAAAAATTCGTTGTGATTTATGCAACGTAGTTTAGTGGATGCGGACATACGTACATTGATTATTGCTAAACGATGTACTCAGGATTTTCGGACTAACATGCAGATCTCGAAGGAAATGATGGTTATTAAAAAACCTTTTCATATGCATTTTTTGAAAATATTAATCATATCATATAATTTATAATGTATCAATTGGCTTACTCGTTGTTCAGGAAAATCCTTTGCACAAACTTGGTTAGTCAAGTTTAGTCTAATTCGAGCCAATGCGCATACTAAGCAAAAATCATGCATCACATTAAAGTTGTATGAATTAACTATCATATGCGGGTAATAACTGATAAAACTAATGATTAACTGTTGATTATTTCATTTTTCGCGTGCTCTGAAGTCTATTATTAACTTATTAGTGTTTATGTGACGAATTTCGCAGATTATATTTGAAACTGTTTGGAGAGAATCCCTAAATATTCCATAAACATTCCAACTATCATTAATTTATTAAACTGTTTCTGGTAAGCATTACTAATTTTATACATTTACGGGTGCGATCGATATTCACGAATGAAGTGCTAAAGAGAATCTTTGTTTTTATGAGAAAAACTTGAAAAAAGAGGGGAAACGGCTTAAAAAAACTCTTGTTTGTTGCTGTTTACGATCGCTAAGATTTTTCCTATTCTGTCACAATATCATGCTAGTTTGAATAATAGGGGAGAATGCATGTTATATAATAACGATTCATGGTATTTTTGATAAAACAATGGAATCTTTATGTCTAGTATTTCATTATTGTAACTAAATATGGGGTTTACTATTGTTGCTTTAAACTGGCAAAGAATAAATATAGTAATTGTCATGCGATCAATCTTCTAACCTGCACAATATATGCTATCGAAATTGCCCCTTTGTTGTTATGTGTATGTAATTTTATGTTCATATAGTTGTCACACTATATGCTAATACGTAATCAAAAGACAATAACTGAAATCCAAAAACATTGGTCTTCCTAACATTAGTCTCAATAAATACCAATTTTTTGTAATTTACTCAAAGTTAGTTAATAATTCACTAATTTAAACGTCATACCTAATAAATAAACTAAGTATAGTTGTCCCCTACATATAAATAAACACCAACAAACCCAATGAACACACGATATATTATTATCTTTACACGGACTAGTACATTTGAGACCAATTCAATTCATAAAGAATGTATGATCATGTATTAGATTTTGTCAGATGCATTCAGTGTACAATGTAAATTTTATCAAGTAATAAAAAAAAAAAATCTTTGTGGTCCTAAACAAAGCTAAATCAAAGTGACATCTAAATACATATACATATGCCTTACTTCGTTACAAAGACAAACCCTCAAAAATCTAGAGCACAATACTTTCGCGCTAAAACCATGCGAGCATTAAAGGACGTACAAAAGGGGAAGTTAAGGTTTGAGAGGTATCGAATCCGTGTAACGGCGATGTTCCCAAAATTAGACAACGCCTAAATTGCCACGTAAAAAATGTTACAAGTAATTGATGACTAATTTTCCTAATAATGTTGTGCGAATAATCACTGTAAGGTATTACAACAGCACATGGCATTCTCTTATGGTGAAAGTATTTCGAAATATCTACTGGCGTTTTTATAGTTACATACAATGCATAAGAAAATGGAAAGTATGTCTATGTACAAGGTGTGTGTGTACTCGAGCAGCGATACTTCATACAAGTTTCAAAATAAAAGCTTTAAATAAGTTGCCAAATCAAAAAATCAATTGGTTAAAAGCCCCCATGAAGGGAACTTGAGCCACAAATAGCAATATATTTTCATAACGTATAGTACGTAAGGTTGGAGGCGTAAGGTTCTTAAAGGGATATTCCACAATGATGCCTTTTCTTGTTTCTCGGGAGGTTTAAATATCTAAATTTGGTCAGTAACTATAATATTTTTAATATATAAAATTCTATTTATAGCGGCGTGATAGAATTTTTTTTATCACCATCTAAAACCAAAATGCAATTTCTTTTGACAAAAATTTATTTTTAAATATTTTAAATAAAATATAGCTATCTTACTTTTTTTTTTTATTAATTCTGTTTAATGAAAATCAAGTTTAAATAGATGCCTAATAGGGCCAGCCAGGCGGGCTTACTTGGTCCAAACCAGAAAAATATTTATAATCCGGCCCGCTAAAAAAAATAAGGCCCGAAAGTACGGACCGGGTCGGTTCTGATTTTTACGGACGGATATTTTAAACCGAATCGGATCCATGTTTAGAACCGGATTCGTATCTAAAAGATCTGGATCCGATATAGTTACACAACTACCACAATATAATTGGCTATGTGTAACTAGTAATTGTAACATATAAGATTTACTCGGGATCTGGATCTATTAACCGGGTTATAGTTATTGCTACCCGGGTTACTTAAATTAATCCGTAAGTGTATAAAAATACCATATTTTATAAAGGAAAAAACTAATTTAACATCTAGTGTTTGAAACACTAGTGTTTGTGTAACATGTAAATTAAATAATTTTTATTAAAATAAACAATAACCAAAATTAATTTCAATTAATATTAGAGTTAGTATTAGAGTTTAAAATGAAATAAATCATTTTTTAGAGCTTGAAAAATACAGTAGCTTCATAAGCAAAATTTTAAAATATTATTTATTTATTTTTTGTTTTTTTTTTTGTAAAAATGTTATATAATTTGGTTTTATCTTTAAACTGGTCTAAATCTAAAAAAATTGGTTTGCTCTAGATAGGTCTAAACTAGTTTAAATTAGCAAAGTTTTAAAACTAAGACTATAATAAACCAGACTAGACTTGACCAAACCAAACCAAACCAACCTATAAATATCTTTAATATATTGTATTTAATTTGATATTTTGATTAGTTTTTTTAAATGTTTTGTATATTAATACTGTCGGCTCTTCCCAAACTGGTATACATGGTGAACAGGTTTTGTATTAGTTTTGGAAGATTATTAAATTTGGAAAAATCATATAACAAGCTGATTGATAATTTACCAATTAAATTACAGAACTAGTACTAATGATTTTTAGAGTTTTCTTAATAACTACTCATTCAATTCAGCTCAAATTTTCACTGTAGATATGTATATATTCATTTATAATATACTAAAAGTTCAGCTAATTTGGATTGATAGTTCTTGAGAAATCACTTGTATATGATAGTTAATTTTTTAAAAAAATTGTCTATCATATGCAAGTGGTTTTTCAAAAACCATTAATTCAAATTTTGTATATTATAAATAAATAAATATATTATCTATAATAAAAATTTGAGCTAAGTATAAAAAAAAACTCTTTCCAGTTCATTTCTGAAAATTATTTTCAATAGTAAAAGTAAACAACTCTTTGAAAGTTTTAAGTATTATATTCGTTGATATAATAGGCCCTTTTGGCAAGCAATTTGATTTAATATACAATAAGTAATTACAATCGGCAAGATAGAGAGAATCTAAAGTACTCAAGAAACACAAGTTCCTCAAGTCTTAGCTCCTTTGGAGCTTTCCATCAACATATTACAACAAAAAACATACTTTTAATCATTCTCTAAAAAGTTATTCAGTGTAGTAGCAACAAATAAAACTGATACAGACCCAGAAGCACTTTCTGAATTGTTTACTCAACCTATACCACAAATTACTTCTATTGTACCGAGCAAAAATTCTACCAACTTCAAAGACAATCTGGTTCACCCCGTCTGTAGATCATATAGAATCACATGACATCAATATGACATTATTGATTTACACCAACAATACAACAAACCCAGATTGGTTGGGCCTCAACACCAATGCCTCAGATAAAATGGAAATATTTCTATACCCAGAACAAAACAAACAAATCCAACTAGACCCAGCCTACTCTAAGACCCCTAGACCTTAAGAAATGGACACAGACTCTAACCCACAGCCTTCACCAACCTAGATACCTGCTGGTTACTGACTCAAACAACCAGACCGCCTCAGCAAGTCTCTATCTTATAACCAAGCAACTCACAGACCTGCCACACTTAAACC